CGTCAAAGCTCCATGCAACAAGTGCTCCAAATGTATTTATTACCTAGGTATAGATACAATGGCTATTTTTAACCAGACGAAAAGGGCTCGCGTAACTGCGCAGTTATATTTGAATCCGTTGTAATAATATTCGTTATATATTAGCGTGTTTTAAAAATAGCTCTGTCCCTTTTTAAAAGAGACCTGATGTATTCTGTAACTGTCAATATGGATGTATTGAATCGAGTGATTTTTGTTCCTGTTATTCTAATTGATAAAGATTTTTTTACAGCGTAACGCATATTAATATTGGCATATTATTTGGCATATATTGGCATATTCAACCAAAGTTTCTGTACGTACCGTAACTACATTTCTGGAAAATAACGGGTTACTTTAGAAAATTAAGCTTTGATATTGATACGAATAGGGCTACTATCGTGGAGCACCTATCGCAAGCGCTTAATGATAATTCACAGGTGGATGTCGTGTACACTGACTTTTCTAGCCGTGCACACCGGCTTCTGAGATGGATTAAATCTAACACTACAAATAGAAGTCAAGCTGTCTACGTAAAGGGATATTGTTCACGGTTTTTACTAGTACCACTTTAAGGCGTACGTGTCTCAGGGGTCGCAAATTGTCCCATTGCTTTTTTCTTTTTATATCAACGATATTGGAAATTGCCCCAAAATAGTCATCATCTTTAATGCTGACAAATTAAAGATTTTTTAAGGCGTTAAATTATCAGATGATTGCATGTAATTGCAAAAAGACTTAAAATCTTTACGACGATTACGATTACGAATGTAACTTAAAATAGGCACAAGTATATTAGAAGACTAAATAGCATTAGAGATCTTGGTTTAATCATAGACTCGAAATTATCATTTGATTTTTCACATAGACCACAACTTATGCTCTACATTTCGTAGAGACTTATATTTAGACTTTATTTAAGTATTTATTTATTTTTTATTTAATCATTTATTGCACAGGAAAACACAAACAAAAGGTACTGCTTATTTCTAACAGAAATTGCTTCGTGCAGACCTAAATACAGGACATCATAATTTTGATGTGATTTTGTTTTTTTTTCATGAAATGAAATTACATGAAATTATTCAAACTATATAATTACTTACATAAATACATATTTCGTACTCTAATATCTATAAAATGGATGGAACAGTCGATAAATAGTGCTCCTTAACTCTCATTTTGAAAATTGTTAAGGATTTACAATCGTGACTGCATGAGCAGTGAAGGGAGGAAGGAAGGTAGTAGAATCCGTAAACAATTTAATAAAATAAGTGCCCTTAAAATGGTATATTTCGCTTTTGTCAGGTTCATTTTAGACTTCGGGAGCATGACATGGAATCCATATTTTCAGGTTTATATCAATAGAATAGAAAACCTCCAAATAACACTCGTTAAATCACTCGGTTAACGTCGTACCATCAGGAGTGAGTCTTATTATGTCTTCAAAACAGGCGTAAAATGTTTGATTCGATTTCGTCATATAAATTCTAAATAATCAAATTGATTCTTCTGCGCTTCTGGGCAGAATACGTTGCCTCGTGTGCGCCTTACCAAGTGGTCCTTTCGCAAACGTCCTCTATTTGTCCCATGATCACTTACTAAATTATATACATGCCATTCCTTCAATTACCATTCCATCAACATGTACTATTATAACATTTTTAGAATATTGATGTTTTTAACTCCGTTCTTTCAATTTAAAAATAAAAATTGGCACTATAAATGGTATTTAATGAACTTGGTTATCGTTTGTTAAACGTCATGTTATCATTAGAAATAATTGAACAAAATACCATGATATAGCCGTCTCGTATCAATTATAATTATTAATAAACCACTGGTACTAAAGGCCTATTTTATGAGGAATATATATAAATAACTAGTATTTCATGTCTAGCTGCTTGTTGTCACAAATAATAAAGAATAAATAATACAGTACATTTCAAGAATCGGGTGACGTACAAGTAAAAGTGGGGTGATGGGAGGGACCGTATCTAGGAAATCGTTCATTTACTTACTAAGTAAGGTTGTGTGCAGTTTGGATATTGTGGATATTGCTGCAGTTAGTGTGTAGATGAAATGTAATAGTCAAAGCACTAATAGAATTCACATAGTGAAATTAGAGTTAAATAGTCTCCGCAACCGTTACTTGAACTATTTGTGCAAAATATGATTGAATATTTCATACGAGAAAGCAATTTTAATTTCTCTTTATTTATCTCTATACCAGATAAAACTGCTCAGTGTCTATCCCAATAGTAGCGGCCGTCTTATGAGACCCACTCGATAGTAATTTGAGCCGATTTATCCATATGCGCAATGTATGTATTGCAACTCTCACCTCGATGTCGTGTCGGCATCCACCACACGAGTTTTGAAATGCAGCGGTACTTGGAAATCGCCCTTCAGTTTTAGGTTCGGTATGCATTGTCCTGTGGCAAATGAGTGTGCACCACCATATTAATATAAATGATAATCTTTGTAACATTAAATCAGTAATTACGTTTAAATAAAATATCAAATTAGAAAGCGCGAAGCGAGCTGTTACTTCTTTCCACAATACCTACAGGAAGACGATTTTATTTATTAGAATCAAAAGCAATGTCGAAATTATAGTGTTAGATGAACACATTTCTAAATACAATCTAGAGTATTTCTTAAGAACAAGTATTTGAAATAAGAAATGTGAGTGTAACTTGTAAATCGATCGGAGTTAATTAATTATCAGCTGGTTTTCCATTAATTTTGTAGTTACAGAAGTAAGTAAGTATATTTCAATATACTTGTGGGACTTACTTTTGGGTATACGATTTGAACAGTCGCTACTACGCGTTATATACTTATTACAATATTTTCAGATACCTAGTAAGCAACAGTTCACACATTCTGTGTTGCTTTCATTAATAAACATAGTAAGACAAACAAAAGCTATTTTTTTTATAAATGATACTATATATTTTTAAACCGTATGGTGTCATGTAGTGGGTATCTTTAATATGGCATAATTGCAACGCTAGGAAGACGACTTGGTATTGTTGATCATCTGGTGGATTTATCCCTTAGTCACCGACAGCGACACCCGCGAAGTTAGGAGGTAGTTTTGCTTGTGGCCAGGCACCACGAGGTTTTATTTATCATATAACATAACATAGATATATGTATAATTCTAAACAAACATCGCAAGTGAACATCAAAAAAGACTTCTCTGTCTATCCATTTATTGATTTTCTTTGTCGCAGAAACAAGCACTTTCAAAGAGCGCCATCTAATGAAAAGCATTGGAACAACGTGGAGACCTGGTAAGCTTGTTGGGATTGAAAGGATTACAAAGACAGACCTCTTTAAAAAAGTTTTAGTCATAACGTGTAGATGGCATTTGTTTAACGTGTAGCAGTCATTTTCAACGGGTAGGGTAGATTTGTTGTATTTTTAACCAACTTTAAAAAGAGGAGGAGGTTTTCATATTCGACTGTATTTTTTGTGTGTATGTTACGCGATTACTCCGACATTTGTAAACCGATTTCGATGATTCTTAATATATTGGGTGGGGGGGTACCTTAGTAGTAGTCCTATTCAAATTTGAAGAAAATATTCTACCTCCAAGTGCGGCAAAATAGGAGATGAATGTTTGTTGAATTTCATCTCCTTGCGCTTAATTGATTTATTGAAATAAAAATTGCCAAACAGATATAATTCCACAAACTGTTGAGATCGTTGTTTTTAAG